TGTGTTGTGTTTTAGGAATGCCACACTGCTTCCTTGGGGCATAGGTGGGCCATGGTTAGGCATCTCCCCTGGCGTCCACGTCTGGGGCCACCGCAGCAGGTCCTAACTTGGCTGTCCTTCTGCCTCCCAGTTCCAGGGCTCTGGCCAATAAACAGTCCCCAGGAAGCTTCAGTACAGGCTTCTGGAGGCCAGGTGGCATCCAGTGGACAGCAAGCCTCACTGGGGACACTACTGTGTCCTGGGAGCTGGGGAGAGGGGCTTGGCTGGTGCTCCAAGCGGGTAGGGGAGCTGCACTTGGCTTCCTCGGTGCAATGGGGCTTTGACATGGGAAAGTCTGGGAAAGGGGAGCAGGAAGAAGAAAACATTTCAAAGAAAACTAATTTTTGCCCATAAGGACATTGTCTGTCTGGGGCAGGAGAGAGAGTTTTTGTCTTCTTTGCTCCAAGCCCCCTCCACAGGGTCCCTAAGCCCTTTCTCCAACCCTGTATGGATGGTTTTCTCCCCTTTATCAGGTGGTTCCTTATGTCACGACAATTTTTGGTGGCCTGCGTGCAGGCAAGATGGTCATGCTGCAGGGAGTGGTCCCCCTAGCTGCACACAGGTAAAGGGGTGCTCCACGATGGGTAAGGGGATCTGGAGCTCAGCCCCAGAGGCCTCGAGTTGTGGGTTCTCCCTGCCTTCGTGGTCTCTGAGGGGGGTCTCAACCAGCGATGCCCTTGGGGAACCTCACTTCCCACCAGGTTCCAGGTGGACTTCCAGTGTGGCTGCAGCATGCACCCCCGGCCAGACATCGCCATCCACTTCAACCCTCGCTTCCACACCACCAAGCCGCATGTCATCTGTAACACCCTGCACGCTGGGCGCTGGCAAGCCGAGGCCCGGTGGCCCCGCCTGGCCCTGCAGAGAGGAGCCAGCTTCCTGATCCTCTTTCTCTTTGCAAATGAGGAAATGAAGGTAGGTGGAAGGGATGGGCATCAGGTGTCTAGAACTTTTGTCCTGCCATACCCCCCTTCCTTCCAGTGAACTCCCCATGCCATTGTGTTAAGGGGTACTGGGGGGAGGGATGGATTACCGAGAGGACCGAGATGCTGCTGAGCTCAGTTCCCAGCTGCCCTGGTAGCCCTGCTACAAGAAAGCCTGGCCCTGGAGGGGGCGCCATAGCCACAGTCTCAGCAAGCACAGGGGTGGGCCTGCACTACACCCTGTTCCAAGCCTCTAAATATCAGCTCATTGAGAGCCCATGAGGAGGGGACCCTCTTTCTTCCCATCTCCCAGCTGAGGGAACAGGGGACAGGGACAGGGAACTTGACCTCAAGGCTTTCACTGCTGATGTGAACTCCCACCAGAGAGATGACAGGACCTTCAGACTTCTCCAGAGGAGAGGGGAGCTGGTGGGAGGCAGCAGTGGCTGGAGGGGCCTGTGGAGTAGGGGTTCACCCAGCCCCCTGAGCCTGCCTCTCCTCAGCTGTGGACGGGGAGGCTGCTGCTGGCAGGCCTGCTGAGAGGCCCAAGGAGGGACCGTGTGGGAAGGTGCCCTGTCAGGGGCGGGGGCGCACTCAGAGGGGCCATCTGTCAGCTCTGCCACCTCGGGAAGGTCACTTGGGCTCCCCAGGCCTCGGGCCCCTCGTCTGCAGAATGTACCTGTGCCACAGAGTCAGTGTGAAGTTCAGTGAGAACTCTGGTCAGAGCGCTCCCTGAAGCCTGGCCTGTGGGTGTGAACTCGGGGTATCACCTGCTGCTGAACCAGCCTGTCTGTCTCTCCAGGTGAGCGTGAATGGACAACACTTTCTCCACTACCCCTACCGGCTCCCACTGTCTCGTGTAGACACCCTGGGCATATTTGGTGACATCTTGGTGAAGGCCGTAGGATTCCTGAACATCAATGTAAGTTCCCTCGGGGTCAAGGACTGGGTGGCAGCAGCCTCTGGCTGCCCCTGAAGCCCGGACCAGCTGGACCCTGCCTGCCGGGGGCAAGCCTGTCACACCAGCTGTAGCCAAGGCAGAGGGTCCATCAAGGTGTCAGATATGAGTGGGTGAGGGAAAGAGAACATGACCCCAGGAGGGGCTAAGAGCCTTGGGCAGAGGTTGATACTGGGTGGAGGGTCTGGTCACCGCGGAGGAGCAATGGCCAGGAGGCGAGTCACTAGGAGGCTTGGAGCAGGGGACCCAAACCCAGCAGCTGGCTGTATTGTTCCCACCTAAGGAGCTCATTAAAATGTGGATTTCTGGGGCCTATCACCAGAAATACTGGTTCAGTAAGTCTGAGGTGGAGCCTAGGAATCAGCATGTTTAAATGCCAGGTTTGAGAACCACTGACAAGGCCTAAGGGGAGAATGAAGAGAATCAAGGCCAAAGCCAGCCTCCGCCCACCTGCCAGGCACAGGCAGGAGCCAGACAAGTGGCTCTGAAGGCACACCCGGCCCTGCAGCCTGCTTCTCCCTTTCCTCTTTCCCAACAGCCATTTGTGGAGGGCGGCAGCGAGTATCCGGTTGGACACGTGAGTCTCTTGGGAGTCCACTGGGCTGCTGCTCATGTTGCAGGGGCCCAGCTGCCCTGCCCCACTGCGGTTGCTGTGGACACAGCTGGCCCTGCCTCAGTCCCTGGCGCCAGGGCCGGCTTGAGCAGACAGAGGGGCGCGGGCTGACGGCCCGGACTGGGCAAGGCCCCAGAATTCCTCTGAAAAGGTCCATCCCAGTATGAGCTTTCAGTCTCAGCCTCAGAGGCTGGCTGGCAGCAGGGGAGGCCCGTGTACTTCCTAAGGGCCACACAGGCCCTCTGTCTAGTTCTTCCCCATCATTCCAGGGCTGGGGTCCATCTGAATTCAGTAGGCCTCCACAGGGGCTCCAGTCCTTTACCTGTATTGTATCTGAGAGAGACACCCCCCCCAGATCCCCAATTTTTAATAATGATATCAAGAGACCCCCTTTCATTGAGCAAATGCTACGTGGCCTCCATATCCCTCTTTCTTTCCTTAACAGCCTTTCCTGCTGACGAGCCCCAGGCTGGTGAGTGACCTCCCTCCTGTTCCTGTGGGAGGTGGAGTCTCTCACCTGCTCCGTCTGGGGTGGGGGGCACCTCCACCTGGCGGGAGATGCCCTCAGCACAGGGCTTCCCCTCCCTTATAGACCTGCAGGTGGAGGGTGGACCGGGAAGCTTCAGGCTGGGGCTCCAGCTTCATTTTCCTTTTCTCCATCTATCCTGCGCACAATTGTTTGACACTTTTCTGTGCCAGGCCCTATGCCAGGCTCTAGGATAGAGGCACAAGCCAGCCTCTGCCCTCCTGTTACTCACAGGCTGGAGGGGAGGCCATTGCAGGTGGAGGGGCAGCAATGGGGAACATATGGAGGGCACCAAGCTCAGCCTGGAAAGGCCAGGGGAGAGCAGAGTACAGGAGGCCAGGTGTGCAGCAGGTGTTTAATAGGTGAGCAGAGCCAAGTGTCCTCCTGGCTGTGGGCCTCGAAGCAGAGCCTTACCTGCCCCAGGGCTGCCAGCCCGTGAGGGTGGCCCACAGCCACTCCCAGGGACTGTGAGTGGCCTTCTCAGTCACCTTCTGTGTCCTTCAGGAGGTGCCCTGCTCGCGTGTCCTTCCCCGGGGTCTCTGGCCCGGACAGGTCATCATACTGCGGGGGCTGGTCTTGCCAGAGCCCAAGGAGTAAGTACCCAGATGGGGGAGAGGGAGCAGCTCGTCTGCGCGGCTGGGGCTTTCTCAGCATTACTAGTTTATCTCCAACACCACCAGGTCATCCCCTTTACAGACGAGGACACAGAGGAGCAGAGGGCAGTAAGCTGCTTGGGCTGCAGAGCCTGGGAGAGTGGGCTGGGATTGGGACCAGGGCCCGGGCTGCCTGCGTGGCCCAGCAGCTCCAGTTCTGGGAGCATCCTCCGCTCCAGCCACAGGCAGCCAGCCTCTCCTCACGGGTCTCAGCTGCGGCCTCAGGAAAGGCTGCGGAAAGACGTAGGCTCAGACCCAGAAAGAGGATTCAACCGCCACAGTGACAGCGCCCCAGTTTAGGAGACACAGCCAGGGGGGCCCAGAGGCAAGGCCTGGTGCACACACTACCCACGTGGGCGATGCCTAACCTCTCCCACAGGGGGCGCTCCAGCTCCACTTCCCAAACCCGTGGGCGCCAGGCTGGTTAGACAAGGTCTTTCCTTTTTCCTTTCTGTTCTTTCTTTTTTCCTTCCTTCCTTCCCTTCTCTTTTCCTTCTTTCTGGATTGGCATTGGACTTCCTGACCTTTCTGGGCCAGGTGGCCTGGGTTTGACTTCTGCTGAGGACACTACCCACGCAATCACAAGGCAGTTACTTTTCTTTTCTATGCCTCAACTTCCTTGCCTGTAAAAAGGGATAATAATGGTGCCAGCTTTAAGGGTGGTATAAATGCTTAGAATTGTGCCAGGCCCACAGTAAGTGCCCCACAAGTGTGGTGGTATCAGAATTCTCTTGGCAGAGGGCCGGGGAGGACGGAGAGCACCGCGTGTTCTCCCTGCCCAATCCCCTTTTGTTGTGCTTTTGTTTTTGAAGTTACCCACTTCACTAAACCCTTGCCCTGCGTGCTTGTGGTCAGACCAGCAAATTCTGGGGCAGTCATGTGGCACGACCCTGGACCGTGCAGACCTCTAAAGCCGGCATTACTGGGCTGGAGTCCTGGTTTTGCCTCTTGTAAACTCTGTGGACTTGGGCAGGTCACTACCCTTCTCTGAGGCCGAAGTCCTAAGTTTCCCCATCAGAAAAAGAAAGGAGAAAGATAATCCCAACCCAATAAGGAAAATGAAAACGTTCCCAGTGATAGAATACCTGCCCCAACCTTGGAGACATGAGACCAGGTTCATACCGAAGCTCAAAGTCACATGGTTGTTATTAGTGACACAGCAAGTGATCTAAAGGCTCTTTCCCAAGGGACATGAACTCCCATGCCCTTGGAGGCCTAACAGATCACATAACTAGTGAGGCTCCAGGCTGAAAAGGTGGTGAGTGAACAGAATATTTCCATAAACCCACTTGTCTTGCCGATGGGTTTTGGCCCCAGCAAGTTCACTATGGATTCAATGAGACCAAAAAAATGACAGTGGAACATTCTTGGGGTGAAAGGGTTACACCCAACTTTATTCCAACTGTGGCAGGTCAGTCACTAGAATCCCGTCCACTCACAGCGAGTCTGCGTTCAGCAAGCCCGTCTCTGCCTCTGGGCCTCTCTGCCCCCGAAGCTGTCTCAGTCTCTGTCCTTGGCCCTGCCACCACTCCAGCCTCTGCTCTCTGCAGCTGTGTAAGCCTTGCAGCTGTGCCACCATGCTACCATGTCACCCAGAGCACTGGGCAGAGCTCTTTATATGGAGTTAATAACAATGAATTGCCCACACGTGTGCAGTGAGCTAGCCGACCAGGGCCAGGTGAGAATCCTGGCCACAGGAACCTTCACTTTATCCACACCACTCATGCCAGATCTTCTGATTAGTTTTAAAGAGAAACTGGAAGCTATCTTTTATATAAACTCTTAATTTTTGAATATGGTATTCAAAGTTGAAGAATATTATGGACCAACCAGAACATTTCTACAGGCCAGTTCAGCTGTGGGCCCCCATCAAGACTCAGCACAGTGCCTGGTGCTTAGTCAGCCTGCAGGAAGAGTGGCTACTGCTGTGGTTGTTTTCTGAAAGCCACTGTGGCTTGAATCAGACAGAGGGAGAGAGTGTTGGAGGGCATGGGATTCATTTGCTTTAAAAATCTGCCCGTTCCTCTCTAGCCCCTGCCTCAAGCACTGAGGACATGGGCATCCAGTTAAAGCCTCCAAGAGCCTCAACGGGCATCTAGAGGGAGGTCATTACCCGGCTCAGGGCTGTGCTGGACTTGGCTGAGGGGACATCGAGGCCTCCAGGAGTTGTCAGGCCAATGGAAGACAAAGCCTTTCCCGGGGAAGGGTCTGCGGAGGGGCTGGGGCTGGAGGCTTCATGCAGTCTGCTGTCCAGGGTCCTTGCCTTCCCAGCTTCTTCCCAGTGGGGTCCCCTGACAGCTCTTACCAAAGCTGGAAATGGATGGGGCATCCTCCTGGAATAGACAGGCGGGTCCCTGAGAGGCCCACCCAGGGTGGCCTTTCCTACTTTGCCCACTTCTGCACCAAGTCTCCCCTCGGCTGTCCACCACATCCTGCCAAGGAGGCAGTCAGCCGCAGCTTCAGGCATGGCGTTTCAAAGGTGACAGAAGCTCCCAAGGCGTGAAACAGAATCTGCCAATGCTTTTGAGGGGCAGGTGCCAGGCAGCCCAAAGACCCCCATCTCCAGAGGCCAGTCTGGAGTCCCACAGCTCTTACTAGTAACAGCAAGTGGGTTATTTCCATAAATTTTCTGGTCCTCATCTATTAAATGGGCTGATAAACCTCACACCTCAGGATTTCATGAGGACTTAGGAATAGTAAACAGTAGCATCTATAAAACACCTATTGTGTGCCCCATACTTGCTAGATTTCATGTACATTATCTCCTTCTTGCTTTTGATGGCCTCGTGAGGTAGGTATTGTATTATATAATTTTTAAACAACAGGCTGTGATATGCATACTTATTTCATGCTGGGGGCTGTCCTAAGCACTTTACATGTGTTAACTCACTTAATTCTTACATCTCTGGGGAGGCAGGTAGAGTACTATTGTTCTCTCCACATTTCAGATGAGGAAACTGAGGCACAGAGACTTACCTAAGCTTGCAGGACTAGAAAGCAGCAGAGCTGACCTAGGCAACCAGGCTTTAATCTTATGCTTTTTGCAGAACACTTAAGACAATACCTGGTACAAAGTTAGCACTCAACAAATGTTAGCTAGAGTAATAGAATTCTCCCCATTTTGAGGAGAGGAACCTGAGGTTCAGGCACAGTAATTTGCTCTTTATGATTCTCCAGCCAGTGGGTAGAAACGTGGGCATTCAAGCTCAGGCGCGCCTAAGACTCCACCAGGTGTATCCAGCCCTCTGAGCCCTTAGCTAAATCTTCAGCAGCCGCAGCTCAGAGAGGTCAGGGAGCCAGGGCCCGGGGGGCCTCGGACGCTGAGCTTTCTGGGTCCATCTCCGCAGTTTCACGCTGAGCCTGCGGGATGAGGCCGCCCGCATCCCCGTGACTCTCAGGGCTTCCTTCGCAGACAGAACTCTGGCCTGGATTTCGCCCTGGGGCCAGAAGAAGCTGATCTTGGCCCCTTTCCTGTTCTACCCAAAGCGATTCTTTGAGGTCAGTCACGGTCGAGCGGCCTGATCTCCCAGGTCACGGTCGAGCGGCCTGATCTCCCAGCTGGAGGGCAGAGCTGCACACCCAGCAGGGAGACTGGGGCTCCTCCGGGGCCCGCCACGTGGGGTTGGCCAGCCAGGGCCTGCTGCAGGGAGAGAACACCACGCCATGGCTGTCAACCCTCCCTGCTGCTGCCTGCAGAGTTTTATCTTATTATTTCAGAATAAGTTCACCATTTTGCATTCCTTCCAGCACTGTAATCCATCGGGATTGACCCTGGCATTAGCCCTATTAAAAGCCCCCTAATGACGCAAACACGCAGCCAGGGCTGAGAACCATGCCCTCAGGGGAGGCGTCCTCTATTCCTGATGGTGAAACGGAGGCCCAGGGCTGGGAAGATCCCCTGTGAAAGGTCACAGTGGGCTGGTGACAGGCTGGGCACCTAGTCCTATTCTTTTGCACGGCTGGGTGCCCTATGGGGTGTGGTGGGTGTGTCCTTTGTGGGGAGGGCTCCCTATGTGGGGCATCAGCAGGCAGCAGAGGGTGTGCCTGACAGTCTGCAAAGCTCTCCTGTCCTCCTTTCCCAGGTGCTGCTCCTGTGCCAGGAGGGAGGGCTGAAGCTGGCACTCAATGGGCAGGGCCTGGGGGCCACCAGCCTGGACCAGCAGGTCCTGGAGCGACTGCGGGAGCTCCGGATCAGTGGCAGCGTCCAACTCTACTGCGTCCACTCCTGAGGAGAGATCCAGAGGCACGCTAGGGAAGGAGGGCCAGCCCATAGGATGCCCCACAGATGGCCCAGCTCTCCTCCCCTCATTAAACTGCCACCTGTCACCACCACCCGAGTCTGCAGCGCTTTGGGCCCCAGAGCAGAGAGAAGGCCATCTGCCAGGGCTCCTCGTGTGACGCCGCTCCCTCCACTAGGAGCCTGGGATCGGACTCCATCGTCCTTCAGAGCCTAGATAAGGAGGCAGATCTTGTAGCCAAACAAGGACACTCAAGAATACAGTGGCTTAAGGAATTTAGACACTTATTTTATTCTCATCTAACAGTTCTGGAGAAAATGGTCCAGGGTGAAATGCTGAGTTTTAACATAATTGTAGATTTTAGTAACCCCACCACCACAGTCAGAACATGTAACAGCCCCATCGCTCCAAGAACACCCTGGTGTTACTCCTTCGTAATCACACCTCCTTGACCCCAGTGACCCAAAAATCTGTTCTCCATTACTACATTTTTGTCTTTTTGGGAATGTCGTAAGTGAAATCATACAGAATGCGACCTTGTGAAACTGTTTTCTTTTTGTTCAGCGTTCTTTTGAGGTTAATCTGAGATGCTGTGTGTATCCGTTACCCATCTCTGTTCATACTCAGTAGCATTCCATTGTTCCACAATTTGTTTACCAACTGACCCACTGAGAGAATTTTTGAATTGTTTTGAGTTTTTGGCAATTATGAATAGAGCTACTAAAAACATTGGTATACAAGTCTTTGTATGAACATAACTTCTCGTTTCTCTAGGGTAAATACCTAGTACTGGGATTATTGGATCATATGATAAATGCATGTTTAACTTTGCAAGAAACTGCCAAACTATTTTCCAGAGTTTTATTTCATTATTTCAGAATGGGTTTACCATTTTGCATTCCTTCCAGCGCTGTATGAGATTTCCAACTGCTCCGCATCTTCGTACTTACTACTGTCAGCATTTTTTTTTTTGTCAGTTACTAGTCACATTTTATTTTGTTATTTGTATCATGGGTACATAAGTGCATATTCCTTATTAAAGCTCCTTTCAGGGTTTTTGTGGGGTTTTTTTTGAGAGGGCATCTCTCATGTTTATTGATCAAATGGTTGTTAACAACAATAAAATTCTGTATAGGGGACTCAATGCACAATCATTAATCAACCCCAAGCCTAACTCTCAACAGTCTCCAATCTTCTGAAGCATAACGAACAAGTTCTTACATGGTGAACAAGTTCTTACATAGTGAATAAGTTCCTACATGGTGAACAGTGCAAGGGCAGTCATATCACAGAAACTTTCAGTTTTGATCACGCATCATGAACTATGATGTCAAAACAATCAAGTCAGATATGATTATTCATTTGATTTGTATACTTGATTTATATGTGAATCCCACATTTCTCCCTTATTATTTTTTTTAAATAAAATGCTGAAGTGGTACGTAGATGCAAGATAAAGATAGAAAGCATAATTTAGTGCCTTAAGGGGGCAAGTGTAGATAGATGATCAGGTGTGTGCCTATAGACTAAGTATTAATCCAAGCTAGACAAGGGCAACAAAATATCCACGGATGCAGAAGATTTCTCTCCAAACAGCGGGGGTGAGGTTCTAAGCCTCACCTCTTGTCAGTATTTTTTATTTTACCTATCCCCATTGGGGTGGAGGGGTACCTCGTTGTGATTTTAATCTGTAGTTCCCTGAGGCTGAAGATGGTGAGCATCTTTTCATGCATTAAATTTGTCATCCATGTGTTCTGTCTGGTGCAGCAAATCTTTTCTCCATTTTTTAATTGAGTTGTTTGTTTTCCTGTCATTGACTTTTAAACGTTCTTTATATATGCTGGATAAAAGTCCTTTGTCAATATTTATAAATAATTTTTACCAGTCTCAGCTTGTCTTTTCATTCTCTAAACTATTTCACAGACCGAAGCTTTTTCATCTTGATTAAGTCCAATTCATCAATTTTTTTTTCAATGACGGATTGTACTTTTGGTGTCATATCTGAGAAGTCTTTGCCTAAAGAAGTTTTCTTCTGAAAGTTTGACACTTTATAGGTGACATTTAGATCTCTGATTCATTTTGAGTTTATTATGATGTGCAGTTTAAGCCAAAACTTTTTTGTTTGTTTTTTGGGGATTTTTTGCCTATGGATGTCCAATTATTCCAATAACAGTTTCTGAAAAGACTAGCTATCCTTCTTTGTTGAAGTGCTTTTACAACATTGTCAAAAATCAATTGACCGTATTTGTGCAGTCTTATTTTCTGGACTCTCTTCTCTCTTCCATTAATCTATATGTGTATCTCTGTGCCAATACCATACTGTCTTGACCTCTGTATCTTTACAGTAGATCATGTAATTCCTCCAACCTTATTTTTCCTTTTCAAAATTATTTTGGCTAGCCTTGTTCCTTTGCCTTTTCATATAAATTTTAGAATCAGCTTGTCCATATCTACCAAATATCCTGCAGGGATTTTGATTGCAATTGCACTAAATTTTTAGAAGAACTTGGGAAGAATTTGCTTCTTTATGTGCAAAGGGGCAATTTTACTTCCTCCTTTCATTCTGTATGACTTTTATTTATTTTTCCTTCCTTATTATTGAATGAAGAGAGGAGATGCGGACTCAACAGTCCAAGCAGGTTCATTGCTGAACCTGAGAGGGACCCCTCTGCCCTGGCCAGCAGAACAAAGGAAAGAGAGAGTCTCTTAACAGGTTAAGAGCTTTTTATGGCCAGGGTCTTTGGCCGGCTCTTTGTGGGGAGGGGTCAGGGGAAAGGTGGGCTTGTGGCTTGCTGACGTGTCCTCTGGGGGATGCTTGTAGCCTAAGTAAGATGAAACCGAGGTCTCTCTGAGGTGGTGGGTGGGCTTATTGACAAGGTGGTATTCAGGTCCGGATTCTATCAAGTATGCTGGCCAGGAATTCTAGTGCAGTGCCCAACAGGAGGAGTGAGAGTAGACCTCTGGGCCTTGTTCCCAGGATTGGGAGGAAGCCTTACGATATTGACTGTAGATTTTTTTGTAGATGCCCTTTTTTCATATTGAGGAAGTGATTCTCTATTTCTAGTTTACTGAGAGTTTTATTATTATTACAATGATTATGAGAGGATCTTGAATTTTGTCAAAGGCTTTTTTGGCATTAATTGATATGAACATATGTTTTTTATTCTGTAGGCTATTAATCTGGTGTGTTACATGGTTGATTTCCAAGTGTTGACCTGGACCTGTATTCCATGATAAACTGCTTGGCTGGGACGTAGTATTCATTTTGAAAATAGCTGGATTTGAAATGCTGATTTTTTTGAGGATTTTAATATCTTCATTCATGAAGGATAAAGGTCTCTAGTTTTATTTTCTTGTACTATTGTTAACTGGTTTTGGTATCAGGATAATGCTGGCCTTATAAAATTAATCAACTATTGTCTCCTCTCTTTTTTGGAAGAGTTTGTGAGAATTGGGAATAGTCCTTTAAATGTTTCATAAGATTTACCAGGGAAGCCATCTAGACCTGGATATTTCCATTTGGAAGATTCTTAATTACAAATTCTATTCCTTTTCTAGGACATATGAAATAGTTTGTTTCATCTTGGGTGAGTTTTTGGTAGTTTGTGTCTTTTAAGAAATTGGTCCATTTAATCTAAGTCATCAAATGTATGTATGTAGAATGTATTGTATTGTTTTATTATCATTTTAATAATTGTGGGTCTTTAATGAAAGCCTCTCTTTCATTTCTAATATTGCTAAGTTTTATTTTTTTCCTTTTTTTCCTTGTCAATCTCCCTGAAGTTTTATCAATTTTGTTGATCTTTTCAAAGAAAAAGCTTTGACCTTATTGATTTACTCTATTTTGTTCTGTTTAATTTAATTGGTTTTTGTTCTTATCTTTATTATTTCCTTCCTTCTGCTTGCTTTTGGTTTATTTTGCTCTGTTTTCCCCTATTCTCTTCAGATGGAAGTTCAGAGTACTTATTTTAAACTTTTCTTCTTTTCTAACATAAGCATTTAATACAATAAATTTCTTCTCAGCATTTAGCTATAACCTACACATTTTGATATTTTGTATTTTAATTTTTGTTTGTTTAAAAATATTTGTTAATAGCCATTGAAACTTCCTCTTTGACCCATGGGTTATATTAAAGTGTGTTATTTAATTCCAAGTGTTAGATTTCATTCTGTTATTTTTCTATTATTGAGTTGCAGTTTAACTCCATTATGATCACAGACCATACTTTGTATTATTTCAGTTGTTTAAAAGTTTTTAAGATAGTCTTATGATCCAGGATATAAATTTTCTTAGTAAATGTTCCGTGGGTACTTGAAAAGAAAGTGTATTCTGATGTTGGACTGAGTGTTCAAAAAGTGTCAACCAGACCCAATTTGTTGATGGTGTTCAGTTCTTCAGCGCCCTTACTGATTTTCTGCCTATGGGTCCTATCAATTATTCTTAGAGGAATGTTCAATTCTCCAGCTTTACAAAGAAAAAAAATTGTATTTTTGTCTATTTCTCCTTTCAGTTCTGTCTGATTTTGCTTCACTTATTTTGAAGCTCTGTTTTTGGGTGCATATACATTTAGGATTATTATATTGTACAGAAAAAAATTATCATACCAGCTCTGAGACAGTTATTCTTAGAAAGGCCTGCTTGCAAGATTGGTTCTTGGCTAGTGTCTGGGAACTTAACTGTAAACAGTTCCATGTACTGATATAAAATATTCCCTAACTATTAAGAGTGGCTTACTGTGCCCAAACTGATTGTGCAAAAATGTACTTTATGCTGCATACCTGCTTTCCTTCTGGGAGTCTAGAATTTTGGTACATGTTAGGCAGAGGATGCCTACATGACTCACCCTTGATAAGAACTCAGAACTTCTAGGCTCAGGAGAGCTTCCCTGGTAGACATTTCACACATGTTGTCACAACTCAGTGGAGGAATTAAGCGCATCCTATGTGAATCTACTAGACAGAATTCTTGGAAGCTTGCCCCTGGCCATGGTTTCCTGCCCCATGCACCCTTCTCTTTATTGTTTTTGCTTGTTATTATAATAAGTCTTGGCTGTGAGTATGACTCTATGTTAAGTCCTGTGAGTCTCTCTAGGGATTGCTATACCTGGGGGTGGGTCTTGGGGATCCCCAACACATATGTCTTCTTGATGAACTGACTTTTTTGTCATTCTGTAAAGTCCCTAGTTATTCCCTTCCTCTGAAAATATCCTACTTTGTCTGATATTAATATAGCCACTCCAGCTTTCTTTGATTCATTTCTTTAAATTTCTTTAAAAGATTTTTTAAATCTTTTTGCACTTTTTTTTTTTTTTTAGATTTAACCTATCTGTATCCTTGTATTGAAATGAGTTTCTTGTATATAGCATACAGTTGGGTTATGGTTTTAGTTTTTGTGTTTGTTGTTTTTTAAAATCCATTCTGACAAGCTTTTTCTTTTAATTAGTGTGTTTAGACTATTTACATTGATATGTTTGGATTTAGGTGTACCATTTTATTACTTGTTTTTGGTTGGTTCCTTGTTTTTTCACCCTCTGTTTTCCCTTTCCTGCCTTCTTTTAGATTATTTGAACATTATTAACATTCAATTTTAATTAACCTATTCATTTTTTACTATATCTCTCTGCATAATATTTTTGTGTTGTCTCTAGGCTTTGTCTACATATTTAAGAAGTTTTTTTATTGAGATATAACTGACCTATAACATGATACTAGTTTCAGGTGTACAACATAATGATCCAATATTTGAAAACCTTGCAAAATGATCCGACATTTTGATACATACTTGACATTTAACAGTGTACTTAGAATCGATATTTTACCACTTGAAGTCGACTATAGAAACTTTATCACCATATATTTTCTTTACCTTCCCTTCCTTATATTAAACCTGCAAGGCTGTCATTTTTGCTTTGACCAACAAATATGTTTTTAAGAATTCAAAAGGAGACTCGTCTGTTTTACAGTTTCTCAAACTCAGCACATTTGAAGCCAGATACCTGGGTAGGCACCCCGCGCTTTGTAGAATGATCAGCGGCGCTCTCCTCCACCTACTAAATGCCAGTAGCAACCACCCCCGCACCCAAATAAAAATGATCTCCAAACATTGCCAGAAGTCCCTTGGGGGACAAAATTGCCCTCAGTTGAAAACCACTGATCTATTGTGT